TATTCCTGGTCACCTTAATGTCTCCTTCAGGCCATTTACAGTAAACTACGTTTATAAAGAACATGCTCATAATCAACTGACGGATATAACAAACTGTTCTTTTGGTCCAGGCCATTTGCCATATGTTTTATCATATAAAGTTGATTGATATAACGAACACACTCATAACGAAACAACGGATATAGCGAACTCACTTTGTGGCCTCGTGTGTACTCTGTCAACGCTAATGTTTAAGTGTTTAACAAACTGTTCATCCCTCACGTGTCACCAATCAAAACGCTGCTGTTCAAAGCATCAATAAACAATTGAAGGCAACTGATGTACTCAAGTACTGACACCTTTTCCTCAAATTACACCCTCAATTAACAACAGTAACACACTGATTGAAGTGTATATATTCTGTACATGTACAGTGCACACTTTTGTTATTTATCGGGTAAGATGATGTCACATGACTTAGAAAAAGATGTCTGACAGTCAAAAGGCGTATAACTAACGATGGAAATAACAAACTAAAATGAGTGGTCCCTTTGAGTTTGTTATAACCGTAGTTTACTGTACCTCCAAGTAAGTGAAGAAGCTTTGGCACACTAATAGCACACAGCTTACCTTGTGAAACCTTCCACCACCAGGCATCGCCCAGCACCAACTACCATCACTCAAGATTAGCCATTTTGTGTCCACTTATGGTTAAATAAGTTACAAATCTGTTAATTTTATCAAGATACAACATGTATAAAGTAAAATTAAAAGTCTATTTTTCTGAATAGTGAAAATAAAGAACACCCCCATTAGTGTTCATTAATGTTACAATCCCTGAGGATACACTTCATGTAGCCAAAAAGTCCACAAGCCTATGGAATTAGTCTATCAGGCTACTGGGCTATTAGGCTAACAGGCTATCAGGTTATCAGGCTATCAGGCTTGTGGGCTATTTGGATATTGGGCTAACTGGCCTAGTATAGTGGACTATTTGGATATTGGGCTATCAGGCTAGTGGACCATTTGGATATTGGGCTATCAGGCTAGTGGACCATTTGGATATTGGGCTATCAGGCTAGTGGACCATTTGGATATTGGGCTATCTGGCTAGTGGACCATTTGGATATTGGGCTATCTGGCTAGTGGACCATTTGGATATTGGGCTATCAGGCTAGTGGACCATTTGGATATTGGGCTTTCAGGCTAGTGAGCATATTTGGCTATTAGGCTTTCAGGCTATCTTCTAGTGGACCATTTGGATATTGGTCTATCAGGCTAGTGGACAATTTAGATATTGGGCTATCAGGCGAGTGGACATTTTGGATACTGGGCTATCTGGCTAGTGAACCAATTGGATACTGGTCTATCAGGCTAGTGGACTTATTTGGCTATTGCGATACGAGGCTGTGAGGCAAGTGAGCTAGGACTATGAGGCTATGACCTAGTGGTCATCAAGCAAGTGGACCATTCAGTTGTCAATTGCTACAGGGTCTAGTTGGATACTACAATCCCACCTGGGTCGGAGACTGGAATGACAGAGTCTAGGAAGGACTCCGCAAACACCAAGGAGCTGAGGTGGCCCTTGCCATGGCAACTGGGGACGTCATACAGGGTCATGGTGGCAACCTTCACCAGAAGACTCTGGCTGCCATCTCGCAGGGAGCTGGGCCTGGAGGAAGAAATTGGCTTTGATATGACAACCAAATTTCATTTCCCACACTTTTATTACTAATATTTGGTTGAGTTATTGAATCATTTCAATAACGATCTGACGTTAATGCATGCGTGTAGACTGAATTGCAGGCAAGTGGAGGTAGGTGCACCCACAAGCTGTTTAAATGCCTCGAGACAAGAGTTTAATCAAATATCTATAGAGACAAATAAGTGGCAGAAATGACAGTATTTGGCACTATATTTCTATATTTCTGCTATTGATTATTGATCTATGACTTCACTGATTGGTAAGAGTCAAGCTTAATATTTAATTAGTTTGAACTAGCTGGGTAATTGTTTGAATTAGAAGCTAATGAGTCATTATATATGGTAGATATTTGCTAGTTCGACAGACATAAAAACAGAACCAAATGTTGGGGCAAGTATTGTTACTTTGGAAAAACAACAACATCTGTTTCTGAAACTTATTGAGTCTCCATTGTCAACTATCTGGTCAGCTAAACAATTTCAAAACTGTCATTAGGTTATTTACTGAATAGCTAACAAACTTATTACAGTCCCAGGCAAGCCTTTGTAATATATATTCCCAAGTGACAGATAATCAGTCTGAATTATGAGCAGTTTATTCTATATGTTACTCAGAGTCAAGAAAATGTAGAAGAATGTGGGTCACACAAAGAGGAGGGATTTTGCTGGCGACAAATGGCATTATCATACCTCCATGTCAGAATGAAGCGATTTGATTGGTCCACATGATCTTGATCAAAGACTATGTATCTCGCCTAGGAAGGAAATAAATTTCTTAGCGGAGGATTAAATCCCTTAAACCCCATCATGAGGAAGTCAGGCTGCACATGGATTTCTGAGAGGCAGAATATATCCCTCATACCCCGCTTCAAAGTAAAAAGCCACATGTTCCCCCCCCCCCCCCCAAGTCAATGAAAGTCACGGGACATAGCACAAGTTTACCTCAGTTCAGTTTAACAGCTGTTATCAATTTTGGATTTTTAATTTTTTTTTACATGTTAGTAAGATAACTTTGTTGCAGGAGGATTACGAGGGGTACATGCGGTCTTATGCATCCCGTGTTAGGTTTTATAACCTTACGTGGGATGCATAAGACCGCATGTACCCCTTGTGATCCTGCTGCATCTCATATTAGGCTATTTTTATGTTTTTATCAACTTTTGATAGGACATATCTCTGCCAAATATTAACAATATCCAGATTTCTTTCACATTTTGGAAGATAAGGAGTGAATGTCCTAGAACATGAACTGATCTGAAACCCTGAAAGAGTCAAAAGAATTGACCAGTTAACTGTTGGATCATCATCATGAACAATGGCATCACACACAATGAATATCAATTCATTAACTCATCAATCAGCATAAAGCAAAACATTATACCACTCAGTCTTATTTACAGGAATTAGTTTCCCTATATCTCATGATATCTTATGACAATGGGCTAATATTTGCCATTGATCTGAGTCCTACGACATATCCATTTGATGGAGTACGTCTCCTTGCCATACTTGGCAGTGTTTGAAACTAAGGGAACCCCTAAACTCTGAACTGGCAATAACAAGGGCCCTTGACTTTAATAATTAATTTTTAAAAACTGACTGTAACACAGATTTGAAAATGTTTTATGCAGATTGAAAGGAATATGTTGTAAAGAAGAAATGACATAAAGTGAGCAAGTGACAGAATTCCCTCCCACCTGCCACAGTTGTCAACAGCTTCTATAGTAAACTTGACACTTGATCTGAAACAGGAAGAAAATATAAACAGAACACGTTCAAATTATCAAGTTGAACTGGTTTGAGTGGAATCAACTGACATAATGAAATTCCTACTTTCATATAATTGTTTCCAATTGGATTAAAAACCAATAATGCCACTTCCCAACAGGCCAATGACATGTGTGTGCCCACAGTATGTAATCAGTTTTGAATTCCCCAATAGAGGCAAACAACAGCATGTATTTGGTGTAACAGCATCGTGCCAGGGTTCAGAGTGACAATACACTCTCCACAAGGCTGTATGACAAGGGGATGACGTCAACTTTCCAATAGTCAACTTTCTCTTCATGTCGAGCAATATTCCCGCAGCTCTAGGCTTTGGTGTCATTTCACAACCTTAAGGTTCAATCAAGCATGTTCTTTCTACGCAGATTTCAAAGAGCATCATATGACTTTTGCTCAAAAGTTGTTTGATCAGGGTTACAGTGAGTAAATCTGTCAGACACACCTTGATAACATCGCATCAACACTGTGAGTGAAAGGGCCTGGGTTTAGGCCGCTTCAGGAAATATATAGTGATTCTAGCAATATCACAACAGGGGACATCAGAGATGTACCATTTCAATCCTGGGTGAACATGCAACATTGTGTTGTAACCATTCATTGCCCCAACATAACAGCATCGTAGAAGAAATGATGTTGAAAGGTGTCACCTCCGGCATGGCATCTTATGCCAATGGGATTGCTGCATTCTACCCTGCCATTGATCTTTGTCCTACTACATACCGATCAGACAGATAGTTGAGGAGAGAAGAAGTCTTCAGGTCACCACAGTCGTCATGGAGAGTCTGGACAGCCTTCAGCCTCGCCTGCAACAGCATTGCAACATCACCAACATAAATATCAAGAAACTGACAATTTCACTATGAATAAGATCTCCTCTGCTAAATGAAACTTGTTTTCAAACAGTCACGGGCATTTGCTGCATATATGCTGTATATATGCTTATAACGAACTACGGTTATTACGAACTAAAACTAGTGGTCCCTATGAGTTCGTTATAACCGTAGTTTACTGTATGTGGCCATTTCAGTTTCTTTCTTACAATCATTGGAACTAGGGACCTATTTAGCCCTGGAATTCTTCCGGGCGTATCCTGTCATGGAACCCTTAGAGGAATAGCATGATATGATTTATAAACCTGAGCCATATTCTTGTTGAATACAGGAAACATAATGGGTATAACAATACTTTTGTTTATATTGTGAGATGACAATATGTTTGACACTAGTGAAACCACAAAGTCTAACTTGTCCAAATTGCTACAGCTCTGTCTCAGAACCCACTGCACCTTGACACAGACTACAAACCATGCTAAGAATCAGGGTCACATCTTTGCATAGGTCATACTTACAAACCCAAAGTCAGCACTAAATTCTAAAATTTAGACTGAAAGCAGAAAAAAGTAGGTCCAACTAGATGTTAGGATGAGGACAGATAGAGTGAGTAAATGAGTGAGTGAGTCAGTCAGTATGGTTTTTACGCCGCTTTTAGCAATATTCCAGAAATATCACGGTGGGGGACACCATTAATGGGCTTCACACATTGTACCCATGTCGGGAAACGAACCCGGGTCTTCGGCATGACAAGTGAACTCTTTAACCACTAGGCTACCCGACAACCCCTGACAGTTGGAGAAGGAAGTACTTTAGGAGAACAGCTTAACTGGCAGAAATTCAGTTTGCACTGGGCACATGGACAAGTAATACAGTTCCTACCTGTAACTGAAGGATTGATTCTTTTATTTTTTCAATGTGATGTTTTGGTGCAGGTACCAGTATATTAATCAACCAAGTGAGCAACAACTTGGTAGGCTTCCCTAGGCTTCATCCATTTTCACCATTTGCAATCCTGTTTTTATTAATCGCTGTCTTCTTATTACCTTGTCTATCAATCTTGGGTAAAGGTACCCACACTAAACACTGCATTGAGAGAACCTCAGAATTCAGTGGATCCTGCCTCCAGTGATACTCCAGTTTGTAATTGCCACTGTAATTTACACTTGTCAGAGGGGTACACAAAGTCCGTGATCTTGACTACCAGTTGTCAGACTTTCACCTTTGTGGAAGCCTTGGTGGCTAAGTGGGTTAGATCAATGACTTTGTGTGCTGGTGATTAGGTGCCTCACTCTGGCAGTGTGGGATCAAATCCTGGATGGGACTCAACCCAAAAATGTATGAGAATCTGTACTTTACTAAGAAAGTGTTATCCCAAATATAACACTGAAAGATGTTCTTCCTACCTGAGTGACACTGAGAGTGTGGGCATACGTCTTGATTCCCTTCATGACTGCCTCAGCCATAGCCTTGTACACCAGCATCAGGTACCTGCAAACACATTATACTAGACGTTGTACATATGTATCGAAACATCTATATCATCGTCTATAAAGTGACCCCCTTGTAAATCCCTCAAAATTCATATACCCCATCTATAAAGCGATCTGGAATGAAGCACATCACCACCGCATACATATCCCTCCATTTGCAATAAAAATGTGTGTGTCTTCCGCAGAGAAAAATGACATCGTATCCCTTCAGCGAATTCAAGTAAACGAACAGGTGATAACAAGGAAACTTGGTCAATACAGATTTGAAATTTAAGATAAAACATCACTAGACATGTTAATTTACTGTTTCGATAGTATTTACTGTTCTGCTAGACATTCTTTTATATGCAGAGTTTTGTTTGTTTGTCGATTAACGCAGCACTCAGCCATATTGATGGCGGTCTGTAAAAAATTGAGTCTGGATCAGAAAAACCAGTGACTGACACCGTGAGCATTGATCCATGAAATTTAGATACGATGACATTCATAAACCAAATCAGCGAACCTGACCACCCAATCCTGTTAGATGCCTCTTACAATACGCATAGTTGCCTTTTATGGCAAGCATGGGTTGCTGAAGACCTGTTCTAACCTGGATCTTCACGGATATCTTATTTTTATGCAGAGAGTAAGATTACTGTATGTATTATCTCGTAAACTAAGCCAGAAACAGTAATCAGCTGTACACACGTTTTCTTGGAATCTACTGGCGATTTGGTTAAATATTACTCAATAACATAACTTTAAAGAATATTTTGATACAATGATTGGAAACATATATTTCAATATAGTGTTATTTTAGTTGCAGCTTTACTATATATAACTGAAATAAATCAATAACCATAAACGATGCACTTTGGTACAGCTGATCGCTATTGAAGGATAATGGTTACACATGGAACAAATTGACCAATCACTGTCGATGCTTCACAGTTCCACACCAATACTTGTCATGGCTTATGAACACCAAGGTTTAGCTTCACAATTCCACACCAATACTTGTCATGGCTTATGAACACCAAGGTTTAGCTTCACAATTCCACACCAATACTTGTCATGGGTTATGAACACCAAGGTTTAGCTTCACAATTCCACACCAATAATTGTCATGGCTTATCAACACCAAGGTTTAGCTTCACAATTCCACACCAATACTTGTCATGGCTTATCAACACCAAGGTTTAGCTTCACAATTCCACACCAATAATTGTCATGGCTTATGAACACCAAGGTTTAGCTTCACAATTCCACACCAATACTTGTCATGGCTTATCAACACCAAGGTTTAGCTTCACAATTCCACACCAATACTTGTCATGGCTTATCAACACCAAGGTTTAGCTTCACAATTCCACACCAATACTTGTCATGGCTTATCAACACCAAGGTTTAGCTTCACAATTCCAAAACAACAAAATTGAGAAGATAACAAAAGGTGGAAAAGAACAAAGAGTAGAAACTAACAAGGGAAACCAACAGATAATTGGCGCTTATTGGTGATTGACAATAGACAATGGAAGCCAACACTTTACAGTAATTAGGGATGAAGCCAGTACTTAGTTTCATAGATAAGTAATAGGTAATGGACACTGGACACTTGTTATCTTATTAATTTTGTTGTCCTTACAAGTACATATATATGCTCTCTGCCTCATGGCATTCAATCACCTGATGAAGGAGTAAGCATATACTCCGAAACGTTGTGTTCCTCATAATAAGGGGAGTTGACATCCATATATTCACTTCCTTAAATTGGTCCATGTACATCAACAGAGAGTACCTAGTCTCTATGCATGCAGATATTTGCTGGTTGGATGTGAACATGCTTCTAATGCAGCTTGTAAGCATGGAAAGTGTTGTACTTAATACATGCAAACTTTTAAGGATGTACGATGCATCCTTCATAGTTAGGCTCAGAACTTTTCAACCCTTGCAAAAACCGTACTCTTTACATCCAAAATGTAATATAATTTGACAAATATCCTAAAAAACATGACTCTCTACTTAATTAATTATATTTGACAAGAGATGGAAAAACAATATTTTCATTATCAAATCAATTTTTGGATGAAACTGGCTCTGATGCTTTTGGCAGTATTTACATTATTCTGAAACAATATATTATCCTTTCCTCATGCAATGTCTTGATGGATGACACGGAAATTTCTTCATCAAGGGCGAATTTTTCTTCACTTAATCTCCAATATGAAATAGGTGATTTTCAGCGGGAGCCATTGAGCAGTGGGCATATTGGGTTACTTTCCAGCATGTGAACAATACAATAATCATCAACTAGTGGAGGTCTGAACCTGAAACTACAGGACACCACCCTGCGAAGGAGATGATTAGCGTTTACATGCGACAGACAGTATCAGAATCCTTGTCCAAATCGATTCCATGGAGAATCATTCACTTCAGAGAGTAAGACTTGTAAACTGCTGGGCAGACAACCAGTAATTGATTGAAAATTCAAAGTTTCTTAGGATGAAGCAATCCTGGGCTAATGATAGATAACTAAAATCAAGTATTTAACTAACATCTCTGATATTTTAAGATCATGTCCTTTGAGGTTGTGGTATATCAACATCAGCCATGTCCAGGCCTTGTTGCTCATTTCGTGGAAGAGGGAAACAACCATTACTTAATGGAAAGTAGCTTGTCACTGAAACATTGATTGAATGGGGCATCTAAGTAAATTGAAAACTTCTTCCCCTGTTTATGAGGAAAATTGAAGTACAAAGACATTTCTCAAGAAAAAAAGGACAAAGTGTACGTGGATCATACATAACCATAGTTATAATTAGCATATAAATGGAGAAAACAAAAAGTGTAATAATGTTGGCCATTACTGGTTGGCAGAGTTCAGCTGTGGTTGTCCTCAGTGTGGCTACAGTTGGCAAGAACTGGCTTCAGTGAACATCACTATGATGAAGTGTAATCTTCATCAGTGTTCCAGCATTACATCCTCTTAGTTTTATGTTTAATAGATGCTATATTTGTCCTTACACACAAACTTGTGTCATGCTAACTTTTACAGGGTGAGCCATGTTGGCTGTCAGACGACTAACTGCCACCAGAGGGAAACAGAGCCACTAAAACAAGTACCAGTATACACCAGGGACAAAGCTGCCCACTGCTTACTATATAAGTACGCAAAGACCTTTTTGACAGAAGAGGGTGGAATTTTTTCTATATGGCAATTTGCTTTCAGCAAATGTGTAATTTTGTTGACAATAGTCACAATATATTGTGTTATTATGTTTAGTTTTACAGTACCCAATCATCCATCAATATTAGGAATATATACATGTTTAGCATGCATAAAAAAAGGTGGAGTATAGTCAGTGTATGAAATAAAAAAATTGCCAAGCTGCCATCAGGACCTCCGGCATTTATAAGCTGCAGGCCCTGACTAAACTCTTCAGGCCCATATTTAAAAATCTGCAGCTGATTGTGACATATAAATCAAAATGTTTCTTTACTGCAGGCAATAAGGACCAACACAAATTTGAAATCTTATCGTGTAATGATTATCTGACAAAACACGTTTTTTAATATTTTTTTAATCACATACTCTTATACTCACACTGACCTTCAGAAACTGAAAATGATTCCCTCATGACATGCCTTGAAACTGTTCGATAGTCATGGTATTGTGACCACACTTTCAAGTGTTTCCTCTGCTTCTTGGCATTATATATTACTCAAAAGAAGTTAAGGACCACCTGAATCTTTTCTATTACTTTAGTTAATCCGTCATGGCATCATATACTCACAGCCAAAAGAAACGTGAACAAAGAAACATAAAGAGAAGTATGTACATTAAGAAGAGATTGGCAAGATGTGTACCAATTAATTACAAAACTAACAATCAGTCAAGCGTTACCACAGAGTGTCTTTATTCTTATCACAATATTCAGCACGTCATTTCCAAACTCTACATGCTAATCCTGCAATCTTAAAATATGACATTAGTCAACAGTCACCCTCCAAGTTATTTCAAAGTCCAAGGCACTATATGGAAATAAAAGCATCAAAAACATTTCCATATTCAGAAGAAATCTCCCAAAAGCAGAGACATTTGTACTGACTATTTCATGAGCATGTGTTTATGAATCACAATCAAATAGGGATGATACCTGGTGTTCTCAAAAAGGTGAGTGTATCCTGCCCATCAGTGGCACCCATCACAAACACATGCAAAGGCAAATCAATTGTTCACCTGAAAAAGCATCCATCTGCTTCAAGGTAAGAGGTCTTCACTGTAAAGTTACCATACTGCTGATAACTCCTCAAGATTTACTTTATATTTCAAGTTGAGTAGTGACTGAATAATTATTGCTTCATGCCACACCAGCAATCTTTCAGCTACTCACCGCGATATATTTCAAGTTGACAGTTATTCATATAATGAATGTGATTCTGAACAATGGATTTTACCGTATTCAACGTAATAAGGGCCCCGCTCTAATAAGCACCCACAGGGATATTTGCTAATATATTGGCTAGTGAAAATCTCAATCAGCACCCTTTCCGATTGATCAATGTATACCAGACTTATTTATTGGTGTATAATATGCACTTGTGTGTTATATGCACCCTTAGTTATGGGCAATTAAATCCTGTAAAAATATATCTGTCGTATATAAACATTTCAGACTGTCAGCATAAATCACAAAATTTACGATCTTTCAACTCGTTTTTTTCCACCTAAATAATATTTTAATAAGAGCCCCCTATTTCTAATTTTGAGAGTTCCCTGGGTGCTTATTACATCGAATACGGTATATATGTTTTAACTATATTGTACTTTTCTTCTCACAAGACAAGGCATGAAATATGTTTCAATACTGAAATGATTGGATAATGTCCAAATTTTCCTCAGGATGAGATGAATAGTGATGATCTGGTAACAGCACTGCTAGCATGATTAATGAATCTACAGAATCAGAGACGCGCTGTAAGCATTCTCCAACCGAGAATATATATAGTCA